GGTGAAGTTGTGTTTTCTGGTGTACCAGGTGTGTTTCCATATGGAGAAGTTGTGTTTTCTGGTGTACTGGTTGTGTTCACGTGTGGTGAAGTGTTTTCTGGTGTACCCGTTGTGTTTACTTGGGGTGAAGTTGCATTTTCTGAAGCAGCAGTTGAGTTTCCAGCTGGGAAAGTTGTGCTTTCTGCAGCTGCAACTGAATATGCAGTTTGGGGAGTTGAGCTTTGTGGAGCTGGAGTCGAGTTCACTGCTGGGCCACGTGTGCTTTCTGCAGCTTCAGTTGAGTTTCCACTTGTGAATGTTCCTGTTAGGTCTCCAGCCAAAGTTGAGTTTACGCTTAGTGATTCAGTTGTGCTTGACGTTTCATCTGAATCTAATAGAAAATAATGCAAATATTGGTGAACAGGGAAGGTTTTCAAACAGACATTCATAATAATGAAATTTAAGCTTAGAGTTTGTCATGATTTGAATGCTTAGTAAGGAACTCACCAACACCACCTGTAAGAAACAGGAAGAGAAGGATGGTTCCCCCTTTCATCATTAGAGATTGACAGTCAAGTAGGTTGAGTCCAGTCTGAGGAAGAGAGCACAGGAAAAGAGTATGTGAGATCTGTAGCCCACAGTTAACCTCAGCGCACATTTATCTGTAGTCTTCCCAAAAGAATCCTTAAAAAGCGGCCTTCGTGATGCAAGCAACAAGACACATTTAAATCCGATGTCTGTATAAATTGAAAAGCACTCTTAAAGCGGACAACTGCATGTTGCGGTGGTCTTGTCACATCGTTTGACAGCATCACTGGTGTTGTTAAGCTGTTCAGCAATGAAGTGTTTCTTTAAAGGATGTAAAAAGGTAAACAGTTCTAATTGTACTGGGTGGACTGATTGACCGTTTGAACAAAAAGTTACGAAATGTAGAAATCAGATGTGAAGAAGACATAAAACTATATCGAACAACAACATTGTTTCTCTCTAACTGCAAGATTAGTGTCGAATTTCCTGGGTTTTTTGAAGAAACACCTGGATGAGACCCTACAGTCCGGACAGGAGATACTATGTTACCCAAAAAGTGGTGGGAGTGTGGAACAAGCTAACGCATTGTGTTTAACCTGTCTGACTTTCTTTCACAAAATAGCTGAGTAGGATTCTCTTAACTATCAAACGATCGGATGGACAGGATGATTATATAACCTTATGATAATCTTATAACCTTATGTCAAGGGTAAGATAATGTCAAGGGTAAAATAAGAATTATTTACTCTTACATAGCTCTTTTCTGGACACTCCACTCGAAGCGCTTTTGCAAGTGATGGGAACTCCCCTCCACCTCCACCAATGAGCAGCCAGACTGCGCCAGTCCGCTTACCACACACCAGCTCTCAGTGGGGAGGAAAACAGTGTGATGAAGCCAGTTCACAGTTGGGGACTATTAGTGGTAAAACACGGGGGGAAATTTGACTTCGTTTTTATGTCTCATCCGAAGGACAGCGCCCTTTTACAGTATAGCGTCCCCATAACTATTCAGGAGCTTTAGCACCCACATAGACAGCAGGGTGAGCACCCCCTGCTGGCCCCACTAACACCTCTTCCAGTAGCAACCTTGGCTTTCCCAGGAGGTCTCCTATCCAGGTACAGACCAGGCTCACACCTGCTGAGCTTCAGTGGGCTGCCAGCTGTGAGTTACAGGGTGAGACAGCTGCGGGCAATTTTTAACCAATTTGTCCAGTAAAGAGTCGCGGGCGAGCAAGCACCTCCTCTTGTAAGTAACTGTTATTATTTAATCCTCAAGGCATTAGTGACAGGTTTGCTTAGTGACAGGTTTAACATCAATTTTCTCATAATGTCGAAGTTCCTCCGAGAGGAGAAAACCCCGAAGTATTCTGGTTTCCTTTATTAAGTTTTCTTACGGGTGTTCAAACATGACACACGTAACCGGTTCTGATCCAGTTCTCGGCGGTTATTTGGGAAGTGCAGTACGTACCTCGCAGTTAAAAGCATGGGAATAGATGCTTAAGAAAGATTAATTAAGAGGCTGAGATGTCAGGTGATCATCTGCCTAAATACTTCACATAACATTCTGAGCAAAGGAATATATATCCGGATTCTCTGTTTATTTAGTGCTGAAGCGCATTGCTGCCACCAGGGACAGAAATCAGATTTTTCTCGTAATGACAACATGGCAGATGATCTCGTAATGAATCCCCCAATGACAGCACCTACAGTAGAAGCTACCGAGAGCTCAGCTGGAACCGGGGGTTCAGTGTTCGTGACAAAGTGCAGCCCTGCACGGGCGAAATTTCCTCTGGAGGTTATTCATCAAGACATATTACAGTTTGTACCTCATGTGAACACAATTCTAACCACGAGAACACACACATATCCCTGAAACAAGAACGAGTGTGCCCTGGAATCGATTCTACTGCTTAAAACAGAAAGTCAGCTAATGGTAACATACAATACATATGACCATCCTTGCACTGGCTTCCGGTCAAATGCCGCGTAGACTTTAAAATCCTCATGCTCACCTATAAGGCTTTACATGGCTTGGCACCTCAATACCTGTCTGAACTTTTATCGCCCTACTCCCCACCTCGCAACCTCCGCTCTTCAAATTCTGCTCTCCTTACTGTCCCCCAAGCCCGTCTACATTGTATGGGCGACAGGGCCTTCTCCTGCTATGCCCCCAAGCTCTGGAACTCTCTGCCCAAGGATATTAGAGAGTCACCTTCTCTAAACTCCTTCAAATCCAGACTCAAATCCTTCGTCTTCAGAAAAGCCTTTAATTAACTGGTTCCATTCTTCACCCCTCTGCTCTTCTTAGTACCACCATCCACGGTCTCCTCTATTGTTATTGTTGTATTGTTGTAATTATAATTGTCTCCTATCTTGTGAAATCTTCTTATTTATTGTTGTAGTCTTCTTATTTATTGTTATTGTCATCCTGTAAAGCGCTTTGAGAAGCCACCTTTAAAGGCGCTATATAAAATAAAGTTTTTATTATTATTATTATTGACTATCGTTGGACTATTGCGTGATAACATAAATTACGCGAGAATGTACTATTTGATAATTACGAGATCATGTAATAGTAAACATTAGAATTCCCAAAACAAATGGCTTAAATTCATATTCAATAATTCATTATACTTATACAGCGCTTTTCTACACACTCCACTCAAAGCGCTTTACAGGTAATGGGGACTCCCCTCCACCACCACCAACCTTATAATATAATTCCTAAAGGATTTCGCAGGAACACCCATAGTGCGGCAGTACACTCACCACACACCAGCTCTCAGTGCGGAGGTGGACAGAGTGATGAAGCCACTTCAGAGATGGAGATAATTAGGAGGTCATGATTGGTAAAGGCCAGGACACCGGGGTAGCACCCCTACTCTTTTCGAGAGTTTTTTTTGAATAACCACAGAGAGTCAGGACCTCGGTTTTAAACTTTTACAGTATAGCGTCCCCCTCACTATACCGGGGCATTCGGATCCACACAGATCGCGGGTTGAGCGCCCTCTGCTGGTCCCACTAACACCTCTTCCAGCAGCAACCTTAGTTTTTCCCAGGAGATCGCCCTTCAGGTACTGACCAAACTCACACCTGCTGAGCTTCAGAAAGTTACCAGATATGAGGTGCAGGGTGACATGGCTGCTGGTAATTACTAACTGGCTATTACGAGACTTGTTTCGTAATTTCGACATGTATCGACATTTGTTTTTGATGGCAGCAATGCGCTTTTGTACATTTAGCAATACACCCCTGTTGGAATTTCTAATTCAATGTGTGCTACCTGTATTACAATTCAAGCTGGTCAGCGGTAGGCATGACTGATTGAATCAGTAAACTTTCACATAACCAGTTACCCTTAGTTCTGATCACGTATCTATAAAAAGTGCGTACGAACAGAGGCTTAATCCAATTCCGCTTTATATAATTTGTCATCGCATTGTCAAACTAAACAATTGACTTTCAAATAAATGTTTCGAACGAACACTGCTATATTTCCAAATGTTGTTTCCAAATGAAAACATACTTTAAAAGATCTTTATCATTACCTTTGTAGCCTACGCATGCTGACGCAGCTACCCACCCAAACTACTTCAGCCTACTGTACTTCTGCTGCGACCCACTATGCCTTCCTCTAAATCTTTTTCCAGATCTCTTCGTCGTTCCTCCTCCTCCTCCCTGGGCTGCTTCCCTCCCTCTCTCACCAAACCAGCATCCCGTCTCTTCCCAGCGATCTGTTCCACGACCAGGCTTTGTCACCACCTCCTATTCCTTCATGTCGTCGTTATAATATCATTCCTAAAGGAGTTCGCCGGAAAATGTAACACTTTTGCCTTTGACTCTGACACCACGCAGAGAAACACTCAGAGACTTCTACAGCAATTTTCGCGGAAACAAAGTCTTTCTACCATTTTGTCCCTCAAACAACAGATTACCCTTTCTGACAGCAACATCAAAGAGGCTAAGGCATTTGTACGGCTAACAGGTCCACATCCTCTTCCCTTTATAACTAGCCTCACCAGATCGCTCAACTCCCAACTTTACCAGTTCTTCACTTCAGAGAAGGGTAAGAAACTCAATCATCTTCTACAGAAAAAAAAAAACATCAACATCCCTCCCACCTCCACCAGTCCTAACCTTGTCGTTACTATACCCTCAGACCTTTCCCTGTCACAGGACGAGCGATCTCTTCTCAGCAAAGGCCTCAAGCTGTGTCTCAGTCCCCAAGAAGCTGGACATCCCCCAAACCCAAGTCGACCTCAACCGCTTTTACCGCAGGATTCGTCTCAGAGCACATTTTGCTGATGACCCTATCTCCCAGGCAGCTGACAACAACCCGGTTACAGATGCGAGTTCTCCATCATTCGGGGTTCGTGGTCTTGTGGTCGAAATCTCTACAGATCCCTGCGATCTTCATCACTTTCTCTTAACCTGCTGCCATCGTTTCCTTGTGCTCACTGTAGTTACAGAGTTCTGTCAAGGAAGCGACACACTCCGTCACCCAGCAGGTTTCCAGACCGCGTGGCGTCTCTTTTTTAGGGGGTTTCGAGACTGGGGGGTGGGGATAGGTTTGTGTCGATGTACTGTGTGCGCCTGACTTCTGTCGAGGAGATAATTAAAATTGAAAGATAATACCTCCTTAAATAGTTTTTAATTAAATTGCTCTTGAATTGATTGGAATTGTATTTTGCATAACGTAGAGACCGCTGCGCATTTCTCTTCATATTAAAGAATTCTGTTGGTGGTAAATTTAACAGCTGGGGGTTTGCATTTTTGTATTTTACCCGTGTATTTTTAAAAACAACACTTTAAAGGAATCACTTCCGGACTCAGAACTGCGGCGTTACCGATCCAAACTGTCCGAGTCCTTAGGAGCGCCGATTGTGGAAACGGACGTGCAAATATTTTTAAAAACGAATAATCCTATCTGAAGACAAGGCAGCGAAACGTAAAACAATTAAATAACCGGAAAAAATCAAACCGACCGATATTCCCTTGTTACGTTAACGCCTGTGTTTTTCTCACCTGTAGTTAATTGAATGTTAATTGCAAAGACTGTCTTCCGCGTGTTTTGGCAGGGCTTGTTAAGTATTTTGATTGTGAATAATCAGGTTTTGACAGAGGGTAAAAGAGGATACATATTTTTATTGATTATTTTTTATTTCGGCACGGTGGATCTATTTACCAAAGCTGAGGCGCAACTCTATAAAAGTCTTGTAAAACTCGGTTCCCATCATTAATTAGGCCAGCTTTAACCCTTTTATTAAAATCCCCAGGAACAAACAGCACTTGATATTGAGTCACACCTTTTCCTACAGAAACAACAGTGACGAGAAATATATTATCATAAAATAAATGGAATTATCGAAGTCATAAATAAAAATCGTACGGGAAAAAGCAGGATTAAAGTCGGTGACCTAGAGCTTTTGGTTAAATTTAAACCCTAAAACCGTTCCAGTGTAATGTGATAAAAAAAAACAGCATCACTTGAAAATAGTTGTGACTTTAATTCTGTCAATTTTTGTCTTCATTGCCCTGAGATAAAAATCACAAACAGCTCCTCTCAAAATTCGTTTTTACGAATTAGTCGATTAATTGTACGAAGGCTTTAAGATTGATTTTTTAAAAGCAATTTGAAGTTATTTTTAGGGTAATAGGGTTTCGTGCTATTCTTGCTCTCCGTGCTCAGTGTTAAAAAAGCTCAGTCCAGTGAGATATACCAAAGTTTTTTAAATAAAAAAGCACGGGATCACTTGTGAAAAAAAGGCTACATAATCGTAATGTACACAGCAGGATTCGTTTCAGAAGGGTACAAATTAAGAGTACCACCGTGTAATGTTACTGCCAATCCAGCATCTCGCCACACCGACTTTCTTCTGTTCTTTTCAAAAATGCTGAACATTTCCATATTTGTATTAATAAGTAATTACTTCCATAACTGAATCACTGCATGAAAAAAACATTGTTAAAGCCATAAGAGCTCGTATTACCATAAAATATGTATACATATAAACCACCCCATTTTAAAATAGAAATACCCAAAGCGTTTAAAATCTCAAATCTGTATTTTGCTTCAAATGAAATTTAAATGCCCTTAAACTCGTGAAGCCACATTGCAATACGTATAGTACCCAGAGGATGTTTTGCGTTTACCTGAATATCGAAATCTTAAATGATGAGAAAAAAACAGACCGTCTCCCGGGTCTCCCTTGGGCGCAGGTCCGAGTCGCTCCGAGCACGTTAGTATTCCAGCAGCCGAGGAGCTGTTAGACGCCGGGAGGAATAGACTTATTTATTTATGACACCCGTTCCCGCACAGACCACGTCCCCAGGAGCGAAGGTGGGACGAAGTTTTGCCGAGAAACAGGAAAGATTGCTTTTCTTCCCTCCCCAGATGAATTTCTAAACGGGGAACTTTGCGTTAATGACGCCGGCCAAAAACAATCCATCCTTTCCGGAAAAACGAGTCATCAATCGTCGCCTGAGCTGCTGGGTTTCACCAGATTCCTATGAGTCCAGCAGCGCTCCATTTAGATCCCAGAATCCTTCAGTCTTTGAAACAGATACACGTTTTAGCAGATCTTCATATTCCTGCAGTTTATGGTTTGTTCCCCGTGTACAGTGTACTGTATATGCGGTATACAGCCAATGTACTGTATTAAGGTGTCGAGACGTTAAGCCATTCCAAAAAATGAACTCGTGAAGTCAAAAACATCTTTAAAACGGAACCCTAGTGACCCAACAGGATTTTCTCTTTATACATGACAAAGAGAGTAGCCCCCTGAGCCACGATACTTCTACCACACGATACTGTTGATTTTGTTGTGATATTGTGTTGGTTTTACCGCAGGCTGTTTTTTCCCTATTCCGTAATGATCTTAGTGCGCTTAGTCATTAAACAGTTCGTAGATTTGTGTGCGGCGCCCGGAGCGGTGTCCCGGTTTCATGGCAGAACAGGGGTGAGTTTCCCGAAAGCATCGTAGCGCTAAGAACATCGTAAACTCGCTCTTAAGATCGATCGTTAATTTACGAGTGTTTCCCAAAACCTGTCGTAACTAAAGTAGAACGTTAAATCCTTCGTAATCTACGTGCTCCCCGACCCACTCGTTAATCACTAAGTGCTTCTTAAACTGGCTACCTCTTGCGCCAACCTTAGCGACAGAGCTCGCCAGACAGAGCCCCTGGACAGGACACCAGTCAATCGCAGGGCAAGAGCCAGCCAGTCATACACATGGGGACAATTTTGGGGCCACAGTACGGGCTGGGGGGGTATTTGGCCCAGACACGGCTTCACTGCGACCCTCACCGGCAAAAGCGGAAGTGAAAATGGACGGATTAAGATCACTTTATAAGCAGTATACAATTTCTTGCATTAGGAAATTAGGATTAATCACATCATAACTTGTCTACGATTAGCACCCCTACAGTTCAATAAAGATTAATCACTGAAATACTAGTTGAGAATAAAAGAATCAAAGTTCTTACCGCCGGTTCGACCAAGTTAGAAGAAAACCAGAAGTTTGTAAATGTTACATTTTTGACATTGTTAACAAAGGGGAAAAAACTAAGACCCTGACGACACTTTCTGTGGTCTAACCGGGCGCAGATAGGAAAAGAGTTGGTAGCAAGACGACAAAGAAAAACGCAGTGAGACAACAGTACATGAGGTTTTTAAAAAGAGTACTGATCATTTAAATCAATATTTACTTCAAACGAACAGAAACAGAACAATCTCAGTGTGATGAGTGAGTTTGCCTCTTACTTCTGCAATGTGTAATATTTGGAGTTATGGATGTGAGTTGCAGTCTCATGTTCGACTCTACATCCGATCTGTTACTTTGATTACTTTGTTTCTGTGGAAACGTACAGTACGACGAAAATCCGGTTTCGCACAGATTGGTGGTCGCAAACGGGAGAAAAACAGTTTTCTTTGATACTACTGGGTATTCGTTTTTGGTGCTGCACCGAAACCCTGTCAACTGCAGTTCTTTAAAAGCTGTTTGTAAGGAAGAGTTTGTAAGGGTGTTTTGTTTTTCACATTTTTTCTTGTTCTTTTTTCTCTCGTGGTTGCAGAAACTTCGAAGCGATCTGTCTACCTGTAACACGCCATCTTCTCTCATCGTGGGAGTTTTTGAGATTTGCCGGATGGCAAAATGGCAAACATTTTTATCTCCAGAAGAGATAGAAGAGCAGATGGAAGAAGATATTTCATCCGACACCTTCGAGATACCTCCTGGCTCTAGCAGCGCAAGTACAGGAATGTATTGAGCGAGTGAATTTGAAGATGGCGTTTTAGAAGATATACCTAATTTTTCTGACTTCTTGGAGCCACGCAAAGCCTTCGTAACTCACATTATTTTCGTGACAGCAATTTTTATTTTTCTTGTAGCCTATGTGAGAGGTCAGGGAACCGCGAAACAGGTTGAGAACCTCTGAACTAGAATATCCACGTGGACACGATGGGTCACACGGGCTCGATTGTCTTCTGTTATTTATTGAGCAGGTGGGGTTAAGATACATGACGAACGGAGAAATGTGATTATAAAATTGAAGGTTTGCTTCCCGACGGGTGAAGTATATTAAACTAAATTATTACTTTGTCACAATTGTCGAAGAGACGGTTTTAACCCCAAGGCAGAACGTTTATTGAAAGGGTATACGAGAAAAAAAACCAAAACAAATATGAATCGAAATCCCACCCTAGACCAATGTCATCAAATGCTTTAATGTTTTATGGTATGAATGTTTATGGTCTTAATTCCGTTCTTTATAAGCATGATCACAAATGAGCACGACCTTCTACAAATGTTTTCAAAGTTCATTGGATATTACTTCGCTTACATTTTTGGTTCAATTTACCGTTCTGATGCTTTATGTTTTTAATTGCAGCTTGACTCTGTGCTGAGTTCTTGGAATTCTTGGAATGCCTTTGTGTCGTTTACATAACGTTGTTGTCTTCAAGCTACAGTATACTGTACGCCGTATTTCCTTTTTACAATCTTAGCAGTAGAGCATGGACTGATATTAGAGACGTTAACATTAACTCCGAACAAATCAGGACAGATTTACACAGTCTACACAGCAGATAAAAAGGAAAAAAAAAACTATATAATTTCTACAGGTGAAATTCTGACTTTTTCGAAAGAGCTCTCGGTCCTGAGAAATCCTATTCCATTTGCCTGGCGTAAATGGAAAACAAAGTCAGGCAGTGGGAGTTCTAAAAGACATTTTTAAGCAACAAAATCCTGGCCACTAATAGGCTTCCATAGAATTGCACCTGTTACTTACTGATGTGTAAAAAGCGCAGTATACACTTTATACATGTACTGTACAAGCAATTGCTTCTTAAAATCTGAACAGTCTCAGTCACGTAATAAATGAACTGTATTAACGCACAGGTACTGTAAGTAGACCCGAGTGAATCGCTCAGCGCCGGCGAGCGATTCGGAACCGGTTCGGGCCTTTTTGAGGGGGACGGGAGCGGATGTCCGTTTGCAGGTTTTGTTCCGATGCTGGACGGCTGGGAGCCGAATGGTGCAAAAAAAAAAGAAAATTAATCGAGTCGGTTCATTTTCCACAAAGGGAGCTCTGCCTGAACCCAGAGCAGAATCCCGGTGGTCCTGTTCTGTAGCCCAGTCGCAACAGTCAATGTAACCTCTGTTTTCGCGACAAAGGGAACAAGTACAGGTTAATTTCACGCTGAAAAGTGGAAAGAAGAAACCGCTTTTTGCGATTCGCTCCAGGAGAAGAAAGCGTTACAGCCGCAACGTCCTGTTTCTTTTTTTTTCGCTTTTCAGCTTGGAGCTGACTTTCACATCTTCATTTGTTGCCGATGCCCGCTGGCTGAGCTCCCAGCTCTGATCTCTTTCATTAGCTAAACACGTCTAGGTCTGTCACAGGCGATTACAAAAAACATACTGTAAAAAAGCTACAGTAGATTCTAAACGGTTCTCGGTGTTTTTTTTTTTCACTGCCAAACATGTCTCTTGAAGAGACAGTTAAAACTACTTCTCCACAAGACTCTAATTAATCACAGCCTGCTAATTGCCCCTTGGTTACAGTATGATTTATTGTTATTCACTATAAGTGTACTGTAAAAATTCTAGTGATGATTGTAACACGGCATCGAAGTCTGCGTCCTGTTGGAAAGAATGTTGCCAAACATCTCGTTCAACAACTGGAGAAATTTAACGCGCAAACATTTTGACGTGACAGCTGGAAATAACACAGATCAAACGGGTCGAACGGGCTGTGGGCTTTAGCGATCAGCGTCACACGTGAACTATGATTAAGATTTAGATGAGTCGAAAAACAGCGACCGCGGTGCTCAGTGAAAAGGTTGGCAAAGAACGCAATTGTACTGTTTTAACCGAATCGAATAATGGCCATTCAAAGGCATACGTAACAAATCACGGGCAACTAGGTTTCAGAAAACCAAGTGCTTGAAAGTATCACACTGACGCAGCTAATTAAGTAAATAACGCCACCTTCGTAACTAGAGATACCGGACATCCCAGGTACTACGTTTCAGAGCTTTTCTTAAGCTCAGGGGTGCACAACCACAGATCATATACTCTACAGAGATAGAATAGAGGAACTGGATCTCTTCAGTCTAGAGCTGGGCTGTACAGCACCAGTTCATACTGACAGGGTAGAGGAACTAAATCTCTTCAGTCTAGAGCTGGGCTGTACAACTCCAGTTCATCCTGAAAGGATAGAGGAACTGTATCTCTTCAATCTAGAGCAGAGTTGTATAACTCCAGTTTATACTGAAAGGATAGAGGAACTGGATCTATTCAGTCTAGAGCAGAGTTGCTGACAAAAGTTTATTCCAAGAAGGCAACAGAAGTTTGTCGCCAGGGGGAAAGTTCTTTGAAAGATCCACGTTAAACATGTACGGTAAGTGAACTATCAGCTTTGTTTTCCTTGGGGGTTTAATGTGGACTGGCCTTTTTTCAGTGCCTCCAGGAAGTATAAAGCATTGCAAAGGTACAAGCAATAGGTTTCCTTCAGGCTGAAAAGAGATGAATGAAAACACAATGTTTCGGCTGTGAAGCCTTCTTTGGGTGTGTTGTTTGCCAAAAATTAGTCAAGAGAGACTGAAGCACGCTTTCTGGTCTTTGTAATGCGCTGTCACAGTTTTCTGCCCACCTACAACTAGGGTAGACCCTCGGGCACCGGGCTGTCTACAGCCTTGTGTGCAATTATCTTGGGCAAACATTCATGGGAGAGGAGGCTCATTATTTCCAGACTGCTGGCTCCATTCTTCTAATGCCACTTTGTTAAGAGCGAATTAAGAAACAAGGAATTTATGTACAAGTCTG